ACACACCACCCCCAAAGAGGACCGATCGAAGTTTGTGTGTGTTTGAATGCGTAAAGTGCATCGGATAAAACACAGAAATGTATTTGTGTTTATTCTGAGTTGAGTGGGAATGTACTTGAATAATGAGTCACAATCCCAATGTCACCAAATTCACGAATGTCTCCTGTTGCCTGATACCGATAGCCTAGCGTAGCCTAACAGCAAGAAAAGTCTCGAGGAAAAGAAAAGGGTCGTTATAGAGCTGCTGTAGGCCACTACTCACACCCAGACTCTCACACTGCACCAATTAGCCAACCTAACTGGCTGGCTCCAGTGAAATTTAACGGTCCCTTGGCGGGAATGTTTTCCACCTCCATGGTGACGACACACCACCCCCAAAGAGGACCGATCGAAGTTTGTGTGTGTTTGAATGCTTAAAGGGCATCGGATAAAACACAGAAATGTATTTGTGTTTATTCTGACTTGAGTGGGCATGTACTTGAATAATGAGTCACAATCCCAATGTCACCAAATTCAAATGTGAGTATTTTGCAAGCTTCTGCTTTTGACTCATTTTGAGAAGGAAAAAAAAATGGATTCAGATGGCAGGGCACCTCGTAAAAAGTCAACTCTCCACAAAGTCCCCTTTTCAGAATGACGAGAACGCCGGTGCTGTCCTCACGGGGGTTGATGGAATGTCAAGATTGTTTTCATCTTGTCTTGTGACGGATCAGTTCCACCGACATCATTCCGCGTCTTTCCCACTGACTCCTCTGTTATGTTGGCGTCAAATTTGGTTCCTGTAAAATAACCCTAAAATGGGGTCCCCCTCAATTTTTTTATTTTATTTTTTTTTTGCTCGAAAACATAGGCTGTGTCATTCACTCATTTCTGGAACAGGATTTTTATACGCTGGGTGGACAATACAGCTTCTTTTCAGTCAAATGGAAACGATTTACGAACACCACTCGTGATTACAGCTTTAGCGAGTGGACCTTCCGTAATCAAAAGTCGACACTCACCTGCTCAGTCACCGTAAGAGGATAAATAATTCCAAAGCTTTTTCCACCATTATTATGACCACAAACTTGTCCAACTCAAATGGGGGGAAAAAAAAATCTGTTCAAGAGGGGAAGTAAAAATAAATGTTTGGTGGCGTGCAAATGCTCCAAGGCTTGACATAGCCCAGTTAGAACGTAAGACTCTTAAACTTCTTGTGCGATTTCCTGCAAAATTCTCAAGAGATTTTAACCGTGTGCGTCAAGAGAGTCAAAACATTATTTGATTTTTTTTGTGTGTGTGTGTGTGTGTGTGTGTGCGTGTGTGTGTGTGTGTGTGTGTGTGTGTGTGTGTGTGTTTAGTTTTTCGTACCAATCAAACTTGATGTCAGCATAGCCGAGGAACTGATGGGAAGTCAGCCGGACGGAGTCAGCGGAATTCGTTCTCACGAGACGGCGACTGTCCGCGTGAAGCATCCCGACGATCGATCAAACGTCCGCTGCCATATTTCAGCCGGCGATGAAAGAATGCAAAGCGACGCCTTCCGTCCCCAGGAAGACGCCATTAGTATGTAAAAGGCGGCCCGAGCTTCCATAATGAACAAATCAGTTTTGACAGTGCAATTTAAGATAGAATGTCCATATTTGAGCCCACGTTGAATGCGCTTTGGGGGAGAGAGAGTTATGATTTCAAGACGTCGGCGAGAGCGGTCGCAGCTGCGCGCCTTAAAGCGGGAGTTAACATCTGGGAAAAGACATTTTCCTCTTTATTAGCACAAGCGTGTGACGCAAAAGGACAAAACCAAGTGTGAAGCAGGGTACACAAATACACATTTTTAACATCTTAAACCATTTTTAAAATGTGAGAGGCCCCATACGTGACGATGGAAAATACCTCAGGCTGCCTCGCAGTTCATCGCTACATTAATGCAAGAGGGCTTTCGAAGGAAGGGAGTAGAAGAAGAAATAGAAGAAGCTAGGCTAACTGTTAGCTTATCTGGTAACTACTTGGATATTGTGGTTGCATTTTTGTTGTCATGTCTCTTCATTTAGGTTAAGGTCTCAGTTTTTAGTCCTGTCTCATCTTCCCATGTGGGCTTTTATTTTGGAATTATTTCCTTTAGTTTTCAGTTCATCATCCCATGTCGGCTTTTATTTTGGAATTATTTCCTTTAGTTTTCAGAAACTTTACTTCCTGCCTTTCTGTCTCTTTGTTAGCCCGTGTGTATAAATAGTCTGCTTCTCCCCATGTCCTCTGTCAGCTTCTCTTATATTCTGCCACGTCTTGAACCAGCCCATGTTTGTAAGCTTGACCTTCCATCCACCCATTTTCTGATCCGCTTCTCCTCACGAAGCCTATCGCAGCTGTCTTCAGGCAGTAGTCGCAGGGCACACACAGACGAACAACCACCCGCGCTCACAATCACACTGTGGGACAGTTTAGAGTGTTCAATGAACCATGCATGTTTTTGGAAATGTGGGAGGAAACCGGAGTACCCGGAGAAAACCCACACAGGCACGGGGAGAACACGCAAACTCCACGCAGGAAGGCCTCAGCCGGAATCAAACCCCGTAGCGTTGCACTGTGAGGCGGACGTGCTAACCAGTGGTCTACCGTGTCACCTAACTCGTCCTTTTTCATAATAAAGCTCGGGGGATCTGGATGTGCTCCTTGAGGTCCCTCGCAACTTTAACAGTGTTCCAAATCAAATTAATATATTAATAAAAGCTACGCCAATAACAATCTTAAGTCTGTCGGGATATTTGCAATTTTAATCATCCTTTGCTGCGAGAAAGGAGCAATATCTCCATCGTGAGGTAAAAAAAAAATAAAAAAAATCACACCAAAGGTGAACGACAACTGTGAGCTGCTACATGATATTTACTTAATCGATTTCGACGGACGTGATGACAGCGTCATTTAATTCGAGACGGCAGACTAACACCCTCTCCGAGGACACACACCAGGGTCTTTACTTTAATTGGTTTTCAGCGTGATTGCGATCTGGCAACGGTCCCAGACAAATGTTCAGACGTGGCGGACGAACTGTTTCAAACATTTTCTAGTTTGATCGGGTTACAGGTTGTTACCTCGTGGGCTGAAAGCTTTCTTGCGGATTTCATCCTGTCAAGTTCTATTAAGGCGGAGTGTGGCTGACGGCAAGCAAACCAGGCACACACACACACACACACACACACACAC